TTTGACACATAGTGAGAGTCAAATGTTATGTTATCAAATTCAATTTTTAATATAACTTTAAACGTGTATGTCTTATTTGTTTCTAAATGTCAGAGTTGAAGGCCATCCTTGGAAACATTTTTAGATAAGTCCTTGGAAAACTCCAAACTCTCGGTGATCTTGGCTTTGGACGAGTTTCTAATCTCAAGTATAATAATGTAATATTCTATGGAAAGATAAATGTTTTCCCACTATTTATCAGAACAGTTTTTCGTCTAGTAAGTGTCTATATCAAAAAGAGCTGCATCCTCTGGAGACAAGGGTGATCTATACTCACTGGCAAGGAACATGAAAAGTCCTGTTTGTGTTTCTAGGGAAGTTCTAAAAACAAGACTTGTACAGAACCCATCACTAACAGTTCAAAATATGTTGCATAGATTTAACTCATCACAGCAATGAACATACTGCTAGCACTAAAGTGACGGCTTTATAATCTTGCAATAGTCACTCAAAACACAAGTCTTAAAAGACATCTCTTGTTTTCTTTTTAGTACCCCTAGAAGTGTCCAGCAGGGAAAAGTCAAGGCAAAGTGAGTATGCTCATTGCTGGGAATTTGGCGATGTCCTAAATTGATCTTCATGAGGTTAAATATGGCACATAGTCAAGAAATAAAACAGATTTGTCAGTCTTATATAATGAATGAATAATTCTGGCTCAGCAAGGGGATTTTAAAAATCTTTTTCTGTTGGCTGATCACAGCTAATGTCAGCCAACATCATCTGTATATTCTCAGATGAAGTAGTGCCCACTAATTAGATCTTGTTTATGTTTGGATTGTTGATAAGCTTAAGTTATATTCATATTGTCATGCAGAGCAAACACACAAAAAGTCTTGTCTTTAAATTCAGGTTTTCATTGCTGCACTGACATTTAAAATATATATCAGAGTAAAACACATAAGCCAGACATAAAAAGTAGATGATCTAAATCTTAAAATATCTTAAAATATCTGATTAATGATAATTCTGGCTTGAAAACAAAATACCCCATCTGAACAAAAACTTAAGCTGGTTTATAAAAATTCAGACATTGCCTTTGAGATTGATGCTACAAAGCGTAATGAATGTCTCCATGAATTTCACATTACTCTTACCACTTTGACCTTTTTAAAGATTTTACGCTTTAGTTGTTAGTATAAAGCATATTTTTTGTGTATAATTCTTGATCTGGGATGAATTCTTTATGACCATTAAAAAGCTCTCCTTATTGCCATATCTTGTAAACTCTTCTAGCAGTACTCACAAAAGCTAGAGAAAATGGTTTCTCTAGAAGTTACGATAACATCAGTTTCAACAACTTAAAATTATAGCAGAGGTTGTTTCTTTGCTGTGTGCTCTATATAGCCAGACTTTTGCTAAACAGCTCAGCAGAGAATTCTAGTACCAGTGGGCTGTTTTCCTTTCAATGATGAGCACATCCTATTTAGCATGCTCCTGCCACTGACTTGCCCCTTTTAAGTATTTCTTAAAAAGCTTAAATTAAGCATGGGCTAAGCAGCCTTAAAGAGGAAGTAGACATTTGCCCTTTTTTGGTGCCTTTTACTTTCTTTAGATCTTTTCACTATCCCACAATCTCCTTCCTGAAGAAACACAGAGATACCTGTCAGAAGTACAGATCCACTTGCTTAGTGTCCTTGATTGGAAGTAGCCCAAACCTCAGGAAGCTAAAATCAAGGCAATTACATAAATTCCAAGGCTGAAAGTTTTCAACTGCATTGCAACAACAACAGAAACAATATAAGAGGTGGTTCTAAATACATGGTTTCATCTCCATTATACTGCTTTAGGAGTACTAAGATAATTTAACACCAAAATAAGTTTACATAGTCATAGAAGTTAAAAAGCTGTAGCTAGCAGTCTGGTGGTTCCTGGGATTCTTACCCAACCCTAACCAATTTGACATTTTGATTCCATATGTGGAAGAAATGGTCAAAGTTGATAGCTTTTAATAAAGGTCACTGCTTCTGATAGTGCATAAATTATAAATATGTAGTATTTTTTCAACAGTGAAGTGTCATATTTTACAAACCAGAGGTGCAACAACAGCTGCTAGAAAAAAATTACTACATTTTTATAAAAAAACACAGAAATAGTATCAAATGAATTAATGAAAAATCTTACTCCTATCATCGTCTCAATAAATGCTGTACAGATTGTCACAAACGCTTTTGCATCCTTGTTAGATGGTGTGAATTACAAAAAGAAAGATCAAAGCAATATTAAATGGATGTCCTAACATGATCTAGTCACTTTTTGCAGCACTTAATTTTCATATTATAGTTATTAACCCAAAATTATTCATAATTATATGAAGACAATACCATTGAATTTTTTCTGTCACATTATGATATTTTAGTATGTCAAATACAGCAATTATTTATTGAAAGTAGCATAGGAAAATATAAAAAAGATAACTGTATATACAAAGTAACATCATATGAATTTTACCTAATATTTAATAATGCAATTGCAAGTTATCCCTGCATTAACAGAATGGACAATAATAAATACAAATGTTAGATAATATAAGACCTTGATGAAAGGTGGAATGTCTCAATGGATATACACTGTCAGCCCTGGAAACCTCAACCTCCAGGGAAAGGTTTGCCTGGGCTGTCAGATCCACAGCTCACAAACACCCCTTCCCCAGCTCACTCTCCTAGGAATGTTTCTACAAAACGTAGTAATATGCTTTCATTTCATTTGAAAGGATAGAAGAGGCCCGATGCTCTTTCTTATCCCATCAAATTAGTGCCTGTCATCTGTCGTTGGACGTCCTTTTCTTGGTGATGTATACTGGTGGGCAGGAACGGAGAGCAGGATTGATTCAACAGGATTTTCTCCCTGTGCACCCCAGAACACAGAAGCTGATGATCAAGCCTGTGAACAACAACAACAAATCAATTCACACTCCAAAAAAGAGGAGAGTTGGGATGGTGGGGGCAGTGCTTCAGGGTAAGAAATATTATTGACTAGCCAGAGCTGTTCACCTGGTAGACTGACTTGAACATCTCACTAGCACCTCAAACTCAACACATTTGGTTGGAAAACCACTACCTGCCCGCCCAAACCTGTTACTATTTACCAGTGAAATCTGTTTTGCTGTTTCAACCATGGCATGCCCATACACCAAAACTAAACATATGACTGCAATTAGCAGTCCTTTTCTTTCACATTCTTCATTGTTCACACCCAATCAATTACTACATATTGAGATTTTAATCTTTTAGACATTTCTTTTATTCAAACTTCATCATCTCCATCTCTTGTGTAGTTGTAAATTTTGTCTAAATCCTTATCCTTTTCCAGCAGAATATCATAGTAATTTTTTATTCTCTGCTTCTGGTCTTTCTCCCTTTGAACTTGGACTATCTTGGTGTATCTCAAGAAGAAAAATTCTAACTTAAATCATTAATGGCATCCTACTCCTAATGAATTCAGTTGAAAGTAGTTGTTTGGGTGACTTTTTTAGTAGTTAGTAAATCCGTGTATAATATTCATTATGTCTTTGCTGCTTACTCAACAGGGAGAAAAATAAACAGGAATCTTGCTGCTTCTCTTTTATAGGATGGGTGTACAGGCCTTTGGTTCAGTACTTTAAAGTTTTCTTGTTAGTAGCACAAAAATAATTTTGTGTATTGGTGGGATGCTCAGCCAAGGCTGAAGGTTACACATTGGTTGGCATAGCCTGTGGTTAAGAGCCCAGAGTCCATATCAAGCCGCAAGTTATGGAAAGTATGTTAGACTGGCATATGACTAAGGTCTTCCCAGAGAGTCTGTGACTAAAAGATGGTCCAGACTATGCCAGAGGGTGGTGTATCCAAAGAAGCAATGAACTGGAGTTTTATCACATAATTCCTCAAGGGTGTCTTTCTCAAGACATGGATATTATTTTACAAATACCTTTCCCATTGGGCAGTAGTTTCAGTTTATACGTCTGTACAAATACCAGTGATTTTAATCCCTCGCATATCTCGTGTATTAAGTATAATGAAAGATTGTTCCGTCATTGCACATCCTAAAATTCTGTAAAGTTGTGATTTTCATGAAAATACATTATTATAGAAATTCATAGTAGGTGTCTTTAACAATGCTGACACCATTTCTAGGAAAGCAGGAGAAGTTTCATTCTGAGTTTGTAGGATTAATTGGCGAGCAAGTCTGAAATTGGCCTGGTCTATTTTACTGGAATAAGCAATAGACATTCATTACACTAACTCCAGGCCAGGACATGGAACACACTCAATAATACTGTTTACTTTTGGTCTCATTGAGGTACCTGGAGCACTTCTCACTAACATCAGTTATACGAATAAAGCAAGAATGCATACTTCTGTGACAGCCTAGGAATAGGAATCCCCAGCTGAGGCAGCATTTTAGGCCACCTTGACAGACTGTGTTCTGTTCATATGCATGGTTTGTGGAACCCAATGGAAAGTGCATTTTGGTATGGTGCCTTGAGAGGCCAATCAAATGACCTCCCATGCCTCTCTAGATCACAGAGCCTGAGCCAGCCTTTGTTTGTTATGCACATCCTTTCTTTAGTATGCTTTCTGTATTGGATTCTTCTCCTGAACTGCAAATTTGCAAGCTTTATCACTTAGGTCCCGCTATTTTGTTAACAATGGAAGCTTCTTTAATTGCCACTGTCAGAGTGGGCTTATTGACCCAGCTAAAGGCAGAATACAGTTACAAGGAAGCATTATCCACAAGCAAGTAGAGTGGATGGCATCATTTCCTAGAGAGGCAGTGCAATTGAAACTATCTTCTACAGCCACCAAGTTATTCATTTCTCTGGCAACTCTTCTGAGAGCTTGTTGTTAGATAAATAGACAATGATGGCTTCACTGACACTAACCAGTAACTTTTCAAAATGCTTTAAAAATGATCTCAGCTGCAGCTGCAACAAGCTCCAAAAAAGATGTTAATGAGTATCTCAGCAAGTGAAATTAGGAAACTTACATATTTATTGCCTAGCTGTAGGAAGGATACATCAGGCTGTCAGTTCTTGGTTTTTCCTTGCGCAGAGTGCTCACCTAAGAACAGAGCATATGTCTTGATTGATCAATTCAGAGAATGACTAAGAAAGAAAACAAATTTCATTGGCTTGCCTTTTTTTCTTTTCAAGGAGACTTCAATTCTCCTTCAAGAATGTCATTAGAGCCACAATTTGTCCAAAAAGTTTCAGTAAGATTTATGAGCTGTCTAAGCCATCATCCCTGATCCCCCTTAAGGAGCAAAACTCACTCACTTCCCAGGAGCTGAAGTGGGAGATCATACCTTGCTCTCTGCCTGCCTAGCCTATGTGGGAGGCCATAGGCACATAGCACATTGTGTCCCCAGCGGGCCCCTGACAGGAGTCTCTGCTGGGACCCCAGCATGGCCTGCTCATTGGGCATGGAGGAAGAGATGCAGTGGCGATCTCCCACACAGTAGTGGGTGTGGTTGGGAGATGACAAGAACATAGGCACCCTGGGGAAAGAATTCTTCACTTTTTTTCTTGTTATATGAGCTGGCACCACCTAAGTAAAAGTAAATCCATATCATAAATTTAGAATATTGTTTTATCATGAAGAAGACATACTAGCATCCTTCTATTTAAATGATTCAGCAGGATATTTGTGAAAATGAATCTGTGGGTCAATACAAACGTTCTGATAACATACATGGTAGCACAGAAACATTATTCAACACTATGACATTATGACATTATTCCACTATTCAACATTAGTATAAACCCAGGATGACTGGAAACTGAATCACTCTGAGCATTTTTTTTTTTTTTTTTACAAAATACTGGCTGCATGATCGGCATATTACACATTATCTATGTCCTTCAGATAGAATTAAGTATCAACCTCAGTCACATTATATAAAGGACTATAAAGGTACATCTTACAGTTTAGAATGAATATCATCAATTTGGCCCCAGTGGTTAGGAAATGTATCTTCTGAGAACTTTGTGGAAATCTCCTCTCGCTGGCACCATTATAATGATGAGCAGAGACAGAAACAGAAAACCAACTCAGAGATTTCCCCCGTCCCGTACTGTGAGAAATACCTGATGCAATGTAATACCCTACAGCCAGTGCTCCACTGCAACACTTGGTGAAATGAACAGCGCCCTCCTGGAATCCGTGGGTATGAAGCGCATGATCCAGAATCACTTGAAATACAGATTTAATGGATCACTACTATCTGCCATAAGTCTTCTAAGGCAAATATTGTGAAAATAATTAGAACTTTTAAAATCTGTCTTCAATAGTTGTGTAACTAAGATAGAAATCATGAGAAAGAGTTAATAATATGATTCCACCAACAGTTATAATATGTCAATGGTAAAAGCAAATGAAAAACACAGAAACCTAGAGACAATCACAACTGGATGGAAATATGCTAAAATCATTTATATCAAGGTTGTGCTTCATGGATGATTTTAAGTTCTTTTATAGTTTCCATTATATTTAATAAGATCAAGCATTAAAAATAGCAGTTTAAGCCAAGAGATCTTATATAAGGCAGTCATATGCATTGTATTGCCAAATTAAAATTGAGTGGAAAAAAAGAAAACATCATAGACAGTGCAGGCATCAAATGAAGCTTTTTTCCGTGGAAATTCAGCCAGAAGTGATGGGTTGAGAAGACAGAGATGAAGGCAGACATGACCTTACACATTTGTGAATGTTTTACTCATTGTTATCTTTTTTGTTACGTTCTTGTTGCTAATAAATTGTTATTTCTAATAACAAGCTAGTAAAAAAAAAGGACTGTGCTTTTATTGAGTAAATGTTACAATGTTTCAGTTAGTATTAGTGTACTGTCGTGATGGAATAGTAATAAGATGTGATTATTATAATAATTAGTGGGGTAGGTAGGAGTGGCAAAGACCTTCTCCTTCCAAAATTCTTCTATTCAGTGAGGAAGGCAGGCAGAAGCAGTGGATGAGGAAGGGTGGAGAAGACACACCTTGTATAGTTGATAGTTCACACACGGAATTAGGAGAGACTGAAACTCCTTAGAAGGCCATTTGGAAAATCTTGTTGATGTACTAAGGTGTTTTGACCTTATCTTGCAAGCAAGAAATTAGCAGTTTTCTAAGCAGGGAAATGTTATAATGAATTCAAATCTACTTCATTTTTTAGCAGATGATTAAAGATCAAATAATATATTGAATTAATTCAATGATACAATTTTTTTCCTGTAAAATTATGTATTCTTTAACATACTCGTGCAGCTTTCTTCGGAATTCTTACAATCTTACATATTAGGCACACGATGGTGTATATGAATGTCATGAGATATGATGTGAGAATCATGTTTAAAGTGCATGGTGATGTTTAACTTGGCAAGATTTCTTACTAAAACAGAATGATATCTACAGCTCTCATAAAGAACTCCTTGAACTACCATATTTGGTGCTATTTTTTTTTTTTTTTTTGTGGAAAATTGCTTACCCCAGTAACTTTTCTCTTTTCCATTAAAGAAACAAATGTAAACATATATGGTCTGAATTTTCAGCATAAGACTCAGCTGGAAAAAACATTTAATGGAAACAAGGAGTTTGGATGGCTGCATACTGTGACCCAAACAGAGGAGCAAGACTTAGGGGCAAGGAACTGCCATCCCAGGGATAATGAACAGAAATCCAACTGTGACTCCTAGAGGCTTCTAGAAACCAAGAGAATTAAGCATCCACTGGTATTTTCCCAGAAGGTGAAATTCTGCAGAGGTTTGTTTCCTTGGAAACCTTGTTTATTGGCCTCTACAATAGTACAGCTTACTTAGAGGTCAAAGTCCCAAGTTTCCATACTGAGGTAATGACTACTATGAAGAATTCATGTGACTGAAATTCAACTTTAACTGTGCTGCTCACTTACGCATGTTAATTAACACTGTATTCCTTAGAACTTGAAGAAACGAAATGAAATTGTGTCAGTAATTAATTCTGAGTGATAGGTGATACATATACTTGTTTTAAAAAGTTTTTTCTGTATTTTAAAAATTTCAGTCTATATATATGATAGTAGAAGCATTGAGCAGGTTTCGTAAACTTGTATCAAACTAATTGTTTCAAATTTTGTTCTAGCTATATTTTAGAAAAGGTGTCTGTAGTGGGTGAACGATTCCTAGGAAATATAGCAATAACAATTGGAGCGCTGTGTTACAAAGGTTAATTTAACACTTATGATATCAGCATCCCTTATGAACACCAGTTGGAGTCCCTGCTGTTGCATCTTCTGCACCAGCTCCTGACTAATGCTCCTGTGAAAGCAGGTCAAGGTGTCCTAACTCCACCACCCATGTGGGAGATGTGGATGGATTTCCTGGCTCCTGATTTCAGCTTGATCCAGCCTGGCTGTTGAGCCATCTGGAAGCGAACCGATGAATGGAAGAGCCCTCTCTTTCATTTCCTCTCTGTAATGTTTCCTTTCAAGGAAACAACTCTCTAAAAGAATTATTTTCTGACTGGTAGAGTGAATACTGTAAAAAAAAAATCAGTTTTAAAAACCATGGGAAGACAGTTGTTTGCTAGAAATTTAGGATCCATCAAGTGCAACTGACGATTGACTTTTATAAAAGGTGCAGTAGTAGAAACGGCATTTGGAAAACAGTACGTTTGAGATGAATTATCAATCACCACTCTGCATCACCAATTTCGGGTATGCTTTGTCACCAAATATCTTCTTGGTTACTCAGTTGGATTGACTTTTGAGAGGTTATTTTGTTAAAAATCATTGTAATTCCTACATTAAAGTTGTCAGAAATAAAAGTATCAGCAATTGTATCTTGTTCTTTTTGTGATGTTTCCTCCTTAGAACTGTGACCCAGTAAGTCACAGATGAAAGTAAGGGAGTCAGAGGAGGAGAAGGGAAGACCTAGTTTTCCTCCCTGTCATGATCTACTACACTGGTGACTGCAGTTACTGCACAAGTGGGGAAAGTCTCTGGAGAATGTTCTTGGGTCTCAAAAACGAGTCTGCTATTTAATTAGAGTTGGGTGCCCTTCTGGAAGCTAGGCTCCGGTACCAGCTGGTATCAACTAGATAGAAATGAGTAATGGAAAATTGCAAGTTTTTATGGTCTCAGCCCTTTCCTCATAGCTACACAGAAGCTACTTCCAGGTCCTGGGTAACACCTGGCCCACCGTGAAGAATCCTGACCACTGCAGTGTTTGGATCAATACCTAATGGTGAACACATGAAAAGATTGGGACACTCGCATTTTTAAACATATTTGTTACTCAATACCATGTCAATTAATTCCATAATGTTGTAAATTGATGTTGATGTTATGTTGTGGCTTTTAATTGATCAGGATGATATTTTACCAGCTCTGCTTTCAGACCAGAGATGGTCTCCCCAAGAAACCGTTGAAAATATCTGGACAACGAGATGCTGGACTCGATGCTTGCAATGAAAGAATCTTGACTGAATTTGAACTGTAATACTGCAACAAGGTGGAGGAATCCACCATGGGGGGAGGGTTTGGGGAGGGGTTTGGGGAATCCCAGAGCCTATGAGACAGTGTCACATAATGCAATGTAATCAATAAAAAATAATAATATTTTAAAAAGAGGAAAGATTGGGACACCTCTTGCAACCTCAGGCTGATTAGCGGAACTTTTCTTGTTCGATGATGTAATCATGCTTCAGGTCCTTCATGAGCTTATGAAGATTACTTCACACTTGGGCTACTTGCCCCTTCTCCAGCCCTTCTCCCTGACTCGGTAATACAGTCTTGGTTACTTAGTCAAAGTAACAGCCAGGAGACACCCGTGGGTGTTTCTAACTATTCTCTCAATAAAGTTTGTTTCTTTGCCATTTCAGGTGGCTACACCTAAGAGGATGAAAAACACAGAAATACCGGAAGTGTGCATAAGTAAGGAAAAGCGAAACACAGAGATTTCTCTTAAAATGAAACTACTCACATGAAGGCTTTGGTGCACCTGAGCGGGTTCTGTGTGCCTTGCTCCTCAATCTGCTGTCTGCCTGTTTTAATTCTGGTTTGAATTTTCCCTATGATATGGGGCCATGTTCTGGCATTAATGTCTTGCTCTTAATTGGGAAAAATATAGTTTTCTGTATTGAAAAATTATTTTTAGCTACTGTAAATATTTATAAGGTAGTTTATCATTCTGAAGATCTCAATATAAGTACTCTGAGATTTTCTAAAATAAATTTAGGAAATTAACTCTGTAATGTATTGGTTTAATACAACATTTGAATCGCAGTTTTTAATGGCTTTTATAATAGTAGTTTTAGATAACTAGTCAACTAAGAACAGAAAAAAGCACCATGTTTTTGCTAATTCATTATATTTATTTTCCTGCAAGGGCAGACATATGGAGAGGGATCCTCTATCTCATAGTTAACTTTCCAAACCTCTGCAAAAGCCAGAGGTAGATCTGGCCAATCCAGGAAACCAGAATTCAGATGGGTCTTCCATGTGTGGTAGTGCTCGAGCTATTACCAGTGCATCCCAGAGAACCTGGCATTAGATGTGGAGTCCAGGTTCAACCTCAGGCATTCCCAGGTGGAGTGAACACCCCAGGTGATATTGTAACCACTGGGACAAATGCCCACCCTCAATTTTTATTCTTATTACTAACTTTAACTAAACTCAAACGATAGTGAGATAAAGAGGCATCTGCTTGTTCACTCCCTCAAAACTCCCAACAGTCAGGGCCTGGCTAAGCCAAGTCAAGCCAGGAGCCGAGAACCCAATCTGGGCCTCCCATGAGGCAACAAAGATCCAAATAATTGAGCTCTCATTTGCTGCCTCCTGGCATATACATTAGCAGGAAGCTGGATTGAAAGTGGAGACAGGACTCAAACTAGACACTCTGATATGCAATGCAGGTGTCCCGAATAGTGAAATGCTCACTCCTGCTTCTTTTTTTAAAAGCTGTTCAGCATGTAATTTTTTATTGTTCTTCACATAAACATAACTCATACAAATCTTATCTTTATTTTGAAATAGTTTTATGTTTCAAATCAAATGAATATAATTAAGAAATTGGAAACACAAATGCAAATTATATCAACAGGAAATTGTGTTTTATCTTTAGTGGAAGCTCAATTAAAATTATATGAAATTATGTAAAACGTGATTTACATTTTGGCTGATAAACATAGCCTGGTTCCAGCTGGCTATGCATAGCCATCTCTAAAAATGAAGTAAAACAACAGCAATGGGAAAATAATGCACAAACAGTGTTCTTTTTGCCACTGCTGTAAATTGGAATTGAGTCTATTCCTTTGAGTACATCCACCTACCAAAAGGACCATTAGTCCAATAGGCTCATCAAAATCAGCATTATTCTCAAATCATTTTCTTAAAATTTTATTTAAAATGCAGAGAAACACACACACACACACACACACATTTTCATTTGCTAGTTCACAAAATGCCCACAATGGCCAGGATCGGGCCAAGCTGAAGCCAGGATTCAGGTATTCAATACCACTCTCCACATGGGTGGCAAGGACCAGGACCCAAGCACTTAATCATCACGTGTTGCCTCTCAGGATTTACATTGGCATGAATCAGAAATCCAGAGCAGAGCCAGGACTTAAGGTGAGGCACTCTGAGAAGTGATATGAGTATCCCAAGGGGTGTATTAAGCCTTATGCCAAATGCAACCCCTCAGTTTTTCTTAGTATTAGAATTTGTATTTATTTAGAGCTACTGAATTATTTCTAAAGGAGTTATGAATTTTGACCATTTTCCATGAACTAAATCCAAGGTTGTGGTTAGATTTGAAATAGCTATTTTTCATGTAAACACCTGGAAACTTACCAGACTCATGAGAAATTGTCTTAACTGTGAGAAGTTTCACACTCTCTTTATCAGACTGAGGTCTATTTGAAACAGAAAACATTAACACCACAGTAATTAGCGTTACATGTCTGTGAATCAATGACATTGTGACATAAACAGAGTGAAGCAGATATGCAGGCATGTGCATATTCATGTGTTTCTATGGCAAAACCTATATTTCTTCACAAACAAATCATATTTTAGCACTTTCCAGTTCTTACAAAATCGAATCAATAATCCCTATCATGATGTTATAGTGGCAATCACCAGATAAACTAAAGCATCTGTTTAAGTCACATTAAACCCCTGTGACAAGGACCACATCCCCAGTTATGAATTATGAAAAGGAATAAACTTGGAGGATGATGCTGCGTTCTGGGGATAATTCTTGTTTATAAGATACTTTAGTGAAGTGTCTATTCTAACCAAGATTTCTACTGATTCATTTTCCAGTTTCAAATAATGTCAAACCTTGATTTGATTCCGGCTTTGAACATCACTAGAGCCTCCTCTTCTAATTCAGATGGATAGGAAATGTGGGGATATTATTTCTAAAGTTTAAAATCGGATGACATAAAAAAGATACTTATGTAAAGCCAAACTACAAAATCAGATCAACAAAGAAGATCTAACTCTAATATTTGATTTTTCCATGGAATTCATCATATTTCCTTCAAAGCACCACGACATGACAGGTGCCTGGGTTTTAAAGTACTTTGTTTTAATAAAGTCCACATAGATTAATAATCTATAATAAGGCAAAGACGCTCAGAGCTTGCCCAAAATACAGTCACATTCTTTAATTTTGCACTGAAAATTGTATGAGGAAAACTATCTTAAAGCTTAAGAAATGTCTTTTGTAATATTTTCCCTCATAGGTATAGTCTACTAGTTTTCTATTTCATCTTCTTGTTTTCCATTTAATCCAACTTGTGATCAATTTTATCAATGAATTAGAATTTCCCTGCTGGTAGGGAGAGCTCTGATCCATAATCAAATCCCATCCACAATGCCTTCTTGAAACATTTCCTTAGATAGCAATACTAAGTGTGTAAGTAATAGATCAATCACTTTCCTTCCATAAAGCAGTGTAGCCTTACTTACTGATCATTCCCATTGTCCTGTGTTCCTGGGAAGAGAAGAGAGCTGTTGTTAGTGTTGCAAGGAGCTTGGCTACCAAAATCCAGAGATCCCCACCACTTCCCAGGTAGAGATTCACCAACCATTTTTAAATTATTTTTCGAACTCACAAACGTCCCTCCAGGTATGAATGGTTAATATTTATGCTGACACTCACAAGATGATTCTCATTAGGCCAGCCCCATTAAATTTAGTTCTGGATTAATTTTGTTCTCACAATTTCAATTATGATGAGAAACTATTGTCTGCTATCACACAACCCACACATACCAGAAAATGACTCAAAACATTTCCATGTCTCTGAAAAAAAAAATTCTCCTCAAAGTATTGAATTACCTTTTAGACCAAAGAGTTGAATTTTATACTTTCCTTTAAAAAACTGCTTTCATGGGACACAAATCACTGAAATTGTGGTGAGCTACAATGCGGCTATTGTTTCTAATTGCATCTTAAATCCACTGATTTGGCCTCTCAAAAGTGCCCTGCAAAATGTCACTGAAGCCTCAAACTGTAACTAATCATCTGTATTGCTTCCCAGGCTGCCTTGTGATTGTGTAGGCAGAAAACACCTTGGGTTTACAGTGAGAATGCAGAGTGACTCACTGTGAGAAGAACTCAGCCTTCCCAGCAGTCGGTGTCAGTGGTCAAACTTTCCATTAGACCAAGTGTCTAAATGCAATTGTTTAAGGATCCCCTGCTATATTTCTGATTCCGTTTTAGTTATATTCCCTTGCCACTCCTCTCCTGTCCCTTGAGTGATTTTTCATATCGAATCCAGGTCTTATCATTGGAATATGTTCTTTGACTATAATTTTAGGAAGACCTAAAATCCTCTAATGTTTTAGGTGATTCTATTTCTGTCACTTAGCGTACTCTTACTCCTTAGATCTAATTTTTTTCAGTAACTTATATGGTGCTTACCACTTACATCTAATCTTTTCTTGATCAGTAGAACTGTAGCAATGTTGTTGGATTCCTGCCTGGGTTAACTATATCACCCTGATGCTCATAGTCCTGTTTAAAACTGCGTTTTCATGTTTATGTTTTTCCTTAGGGTGCTGTAATAGAATTCTGGGTTAATTAGCAAATATAAGGTTGTGAACAGACTACTGTGCATATATACCATGTTTATTTGGGTTGAAGCTCAGCCTAACACTAATGACATCTATATAAGCTTAGTTTTATACCAAAATCTTTTATTTATTTATTTTTTTCACAGTAAGCAGAGTGAGTTTATCAGAGTGAGTTTTACTCAATAAAACCTCACCCACATCCTTGAAGAGGGATTAATGGAGGGTGTTTAACAGTGTTAACTTAATGGCAACAATGCTGTAAAATCTATTTGCAGGACAAAGTCAACAGCAGCCATGTAGATTTGGCTCTTTATGTAGCTGCCAAACTGGTTTTAAAGCACTGTGTGTCTTCGAAATAACTTCCCATTGAGGTAGAAATTTTATACATTCAGTGTTTCCTTCAATGGAAAATGTCAGATCTTTTTAGGCAAAGAAAACTTTCAGTTTGGGTGCTTTCTTCGAATGGATTTCACATACTAATGTTTACTTAACCTATACGCTCAACACCCACAGGCTTCCAAGTCGATGGCTGTTGGTCTGTAACAAGAAGGATTGGTGGCTTGAAAACTCAGAGTAAGTAAGCTGATTTAGAAAAATGCTATTTCCTCTCTGGCGGCTGGGCAAAGAGACATATTTCAGACATGGTCAAGAAGTTGATATGATCACTACGAAAAGAAGAAAATGCTGATTGTTTTCTTCTTGTTGTCCATCAGAAGCTTTCTCCCACCCGTGCCCACTCTATGGTTGGCTTTGGAAACAGCAGCATCACTATCCTGGGGGCACATTGTCCACGAGCCAATGAAAGCATAGAGTAGCTTATGTGACTTTTTAAAAATTAGTAATTAAAAATAAAAATAAAAGCATTTCAAAAAACTGCTCTTTACCTTTGAACAGGTTATGGAACTTAGAGGTTTGCTAGCGAAATCTTTAGAATCAAAGCAGACAAATGTAAGATTCTGTTTTAATGGATGTTATAAAACTGCATGCCATCAGCATACAGCAAAGGCCTGTATCCCAGGCATGATGCCCTGTAAACGGCAGGTGAACTGGGGCTTGCAGTGCTTGTCGGGTGTGCAGGAGAGGCTGCCAAGAAAGATGAGCTACAGTTTAGTATGATGAATGTGACCATCCATTTCTGTTGAATAGCACTTACAGAAACAAGCCACTGTGGTTGAAGAGGTGTGGTGTCACAGAAAGAAAAAAGTAAATTGGTGCTTGGGCTGAATCTTCTAAGGTATACTGGAGAGGGGTTATAAATACTTGAAGGTAAGGTGGAACTGCTGGAAGGTTTATGAACAGTCATAAATCCATGATGCTCAACATCACCAGGGCAGAGTCAGGCATGGAAAGAAGCATTGTTGAGGTAGTTAAAATAGGAAGAAAGATAGTTATGTAATACAAGAGAACTGCTGAATTATGGGAGCTGAAAGAGAAGCCAGGCAAAGGTTTGAACAAAAACACTGCGAACAACCTCTGGAACAGAAAAACAAGACTAGAGATAGAAAGAACTCTGACTACAGAGGGGAACTTAGTAAAATTCCTTAAAAGACTGCTTCATTATTTTTGACAAACATAAAATATTAATAAAAAGGGAAGCTAGGTGTAGAGTCCATGAGAACTCCCTGGGTTATCACTGCACATTTTCCATTGATTGTCTACTCTAACAAGGAAATTTCATATAAATAAAGAACAAAACTTGTAACATTCCCTTCAGTGGGAGGAATCTGTGCTTCCGAAGAGAGAAGTAAGTCACAGAACTTTGAGAGTGTGAGCCCCTACACTGAATTCCCGGACACCATTCTGTGTCGTCTCTGCTACTCCATTCTCTGACAACCCACAAAATCGATTACTCTTTCATGAATAAGATCTGTCTATGTTTGGTATTCACCTGTAAAGATTCATCCTGCCTCTTCTTACTTTTAAAGTTTTATTTGTTTTTATTAGACAGGTAGATGTAGAGAGAGAAAGGAAGAGAGAAAGATCTTCCATTGATGGTTTAATACCCCAAATTACTGCAAATCAGTTCTGGCTAGAGTTGAGCTTTTTCTGGGTCTCCCACGTGGGTACCGTGGCTCAAGTATTTGAGCCGTCCTCCACTGCTTTCCCAGGCAACAAGCAGGGAGCTGAAAGGGAAGTGGTGCAAGCGGGTAGGTGGAGGATTAGCCTGTTGACCCATGGTGCTGCCGCCGATTCACCCCCTCGACTTTAACCAGTTTTTCTCTTCCCCTCTAATTTTGTGATCAAGCAATATGATTTTCATTTGTGACTGTAACGCTTCTATCCTTTTAAGCACTTAAACTGTAATTTAGACTGTATATATATATATATTTGCCTGTAAGGAAAACGAAACAGAAACTGTTACCTACCTGGGTCTGTCTTCCAGCACATTCGATATAAACCCACCAGTACAAATACTGAAAGTGTCACTACAATCAGAGCAATAACCACTGGCAAAATCACACCTAAGAAACACAAGGAACACTGTCAGAGTGGCTACTGTGTTTTCACATTCACCGAGAAAAAGCATGCAGGATTTTCTATCCTTCAGACATCATCTTGGGTCTGAAAGCTTTATCTGATTCGTGGGTTTTTCTCTAGCTGTCATTTCTGATGTGTCCACTTGATGTCAGCCTTGTAGCCTTTCTGAAACCAAACTTTAAACCTAGGAGAGACAATCCCCCATCTTCCTGGAGACTCAAGGAATGAGGAAATGGATGCCCCCGAGAGACAAAAAACGTGCTCTAAGTTCCTCTAAGGAAGCCTGTGGCTTCCTTATACATGCCACCCCAACTAAGAGAGCTGTAGCCCTTTTGCTGCTTTTCTGAAAAACTCACAAATATCTTTCCATAACACAGTCACAAAACTACAAAGTAATTAATAATGTACGTAAATATTACAGTAAATAGGAGTCCTTAAGTGAGCAACAGGATTCAAGCAAGGGATGCGTATGTGTGTGCATTTGTGTGTTTGGGGAAAACAGAGCCGCTGCAATAACTTAGGGTGAATTTTTTCTCTTGTTATGAACAGAGGGGTTCCCTGTGGTTTTTGTTTTATTATCCATCTTCTTTTATAACTGTCAGTTCCCAAGGAAACATCAGTCATGAAGGCAAAGCATAGGGATATGTGCAGTCCTCCAAAATTCATGGGAAATGCATAATACAAAAAACCCCAGACAGACCTGGATTTCAAAATAAAAGTCCCAGAATATGTTTATCTTTTATCATCTTGAATCCCCTCTTAAAAACAGAGGGAGAGAAATTAAAGTTATTATATATTTAGTTATTCCATCTTTTTGTGCTGCACTCAGCAAATTTATTAGGAAGTGACTGTAATTCTCTGATTCATAGGGTAGTTTATGGTTCCACTCTCAGGGTTAAATATTTGTTTTAATTATGCTCTGCTGATTTCATAATAGTCCTTTGACGAGATCTTTATTGTCTCTAAAATATAGGTACCACGAAATAGCAGGTCAATAATTTCTATGGTAAGTTATTTAATGGGATGGCTTTACTAAACTTAAGAAAAATTTATGATTCCACATTCGCATAAGTTCATCTCATTTATAATCGCCCTTAAATTATTAAATATCCTGTATGCAATTTTAGCAAGCATCTAGCACAGCTTCAAAAACTTCATATAAATATTCAATTAAATGATATGTGTAGGTTACTTCAAAAATTATGAAATTTGTGTTTTTTATGATATATCTTTTCAGTGTGCTTTCATGAAGAACCCTCACATATGATTGAGCTAAAATGTAACATTTATTTAAAGTCATTTTTAATGTTATGATAAAGTTTTGTCACAGTAAAAATTCATTTTTTTTTCTATTTTTGTACTCACTTTATTTTAATGAACAAATAAAAGTGGAATGGATTCAAAACATACAACTTCGTCATTTGAATATAATTTATTTTATGTGGATCTCTGCATGCTTTGGTTTGTCTGAAACTAGTCTCAAGATATAGCCTTGGCCCTTGATCATAATTGTTTAGCTGTTCGGTAGTAAACAAAGTATTTCACCATGTCTTCCTGGAGACCTGATTCATTTGTAGGGAACTTCTCATGGATGCAACAGTTGAATGTGAGTGTAGTGGAACCAAAAATTCAGTCACATGGAGAGAAAAAGCTGTGTATACTCTGATCCTTCCCATTTATACCTATTTACCTACTTATCTGTTGCCATAAAGGAAGATATGCCTTTACTCACTGGAATAGGAGGTTTTGGCTAATGAAGCACTCATATTCTTTCCATCCTCAGTACCTGCAATTTGAAAAAAGAAAATGACAAGTCAGTTGGGTTAATGTAAGCAATTTCTACCATCTTCCCTCCACCTCTACTTCAAGAAGCATCTGCAAGTGACACATATGGTGTTCCCAATGCAAGCAGTTCTATGTCCTCGTGGCAGAGCTCTGTTTTCTGACTCGAGGCTGCTAAGGCTTCCTTGTTAAGGTTGCACTCAGGCACCAAGAAATCCTACCTGGAGATGAAAAGATGATGTCTGGAGTTGTCATTACCGATGACAATGAAGGTGATGTCTCGGATTCAGTAACTGATCCAGCTGGGTGTGGAGTGTTAACTGAGGAAAATCACAAAGCCAGAGTCAGACAGTGACATTACCTCTTTATGTGAATGGCTGTGCAGGTTCAAACTGGTTGCATTACTGAAGATCTGTGGAAACTATTTACTGTTGAATGATAGGACACATGCTGTGATAGTACTGAACAGTGAGTTCATTTAGTTCTCCTGGAAAGATGATTAAATTTGTAACCACAAAACCTAGGTATCATTATTTCATTTTCACAAATTGGCCAAGAAAATTCTTACTCTAGACTACAGCCTGTATTACATGCTGCATTCGATTCTTGTGGAATACGTCTATTGAAAGGCATTACTCACATATCAGGTATTGTAAATTTGGACAATGGTGATTTTTTTTTCTATCATAATAGTTTAAAAGTGACATAAGAGACAAGAAAAGATTGCATTTGTGGCTTTGGTTAGATGGATTGGGAAAGAACATAGGGGATGCTTTCATTTCCATCCCTCCAGTTCAGCTGTTGTTTATACTGTGTGCCTTTCCCACTGTCCAAGCTCTTTTCACCCAAGGAAAATGTCATTATACACTTACTGTTATTAGTATTCATTTGTTTAATATTCTGAGACAAATAAAAATATATTATTCAGAACCCACAGATCTGAGGGGGAAAAAAGGATGTGAAAATAAGGGTTTTATAAGTTTATGGCATTTATTCTTGTGAATTTGGAATAAAAATGGAATTCACATGTAGGAAATCACTTAAAAATGAATTCCTTTTCCTTGGCTACATCCCTGTTTGCCTTATCTTGATACAATTGACAGCTTCTGGAAGGCAAACGCCATAACTGTCACCAAACCCCACAGAGTGTGCCTGCCCCAGCGGGAGTGTGGTAGGGGCTGCTGGGCTGAGCCAAGAGGCATCTCTGATGACTGCAGCTCCTCGGGAGGCCTGAAACCACAGATAATTCCACCAAAGACATTGTTATTTCCATGATTGCCCTCGCTCCTTCCTCCTTTGCCACCCACCATTCAGCACAAGCTGCCACGCTCAGACTTTTTGACATCTGTGGGGGAAGAATGTTTAGCGTCTGTACCGTCCCTGCCTGGTAAGAGGTCTGTGGGAGGAAGCTATAGATATATGCCCACAAGAACAAAGAAAAGTGCCAGCCTAGTGTACCAAGCAGGCAGAAAAAGGAATAATAAATGAAAGAGTGGGAATGAACTGAAACCCAATGCTTTTCATTGCTGCTTGCTGTGTCAAGTGCTTTAGTGAGGCACAAATGCTCTTTTGCTTGTGTTGGTAGAAAATAAAATGGCTGATTAAATAGCCAAGGGGATTAATCATCCTGGGATTGCCTATGTGTTAATTTTTTTAAGATTTCCTGTCTAGTCTGATTGCTGTCTCATAGAGCGGCCATGCAGCAACCTTGTGACCGAGCATCACCTCTCCGGATCAGGCCACATATCCAGATGCTTCACTCCACTGTGCATTGTCAGGTCGGTGGTGACTGCCAGTCATCCAGAGATAGCAATAGAGTTAACCTTTCTTAACAGGAAGATTGAGTGGCTCCTTAAGCAACTTTCACATTTTTGTTTATCTTTTGGCAACACTTTCCAGTTTTGAAATCATTTCTCAATCTTGTACACACACGCGCGCAGTTGCTATTTTATTTTCTAGTTTCTTTTATTCATTTTTTATCACATTAGTTGTGACCCTCATTAGTGACCCAATGGTAGGAAATCCTGTCATGTTGCATGATCAGATTGCTAAAATTAGGTTACTTGGCTGAATTCACAAATTGTGAACCTGCTGTTGTTCTCTGTGTTAGTAAGGTAGAGGGATTCATGCTGTGCTCAGAGCTAATAATCTTGTTGGGTTCTGTTGAGATTCTTTTATTCCACATTCCTCCCCAACTATGTTGTCAGAGGAGATATGGGAGAGATGTAGAAGAGTTGTTAAAAGCATGGTTCCAATTACAGTTTGGAGCCAGCATCTCAATCTGAATCTAGAACTTAATGTAATTATGAGCAAGTCACTTAATTGCTTTTTGCCTGAGTTTTCACATATGTAGACTGAGATTATAATGCAAGATTGTGATATTATTATATCACAGCATTATTGAGAAAACTAAATGAGTAAAAATAATTTTAGGCAGCTCAAATTAAGGTTTAATATTAATACATGCACAGAGTATAAGGGCACTTAAAACATTCATAGAACAAATAAGAGGAAGGTTAATATTTATGCCATTTAAAAAACTCATAATCACTATAGATATATTCCACTAGATTTTAAAAAGTTTATATACTTGCATCTCAAAATTTTCACATAAAAAACCTTTCTTTCACTAGTTAGGAGCCAGAAAAACCGCAGGGTAGTTGTTCATCACATAGTTGCTCTTGGACCTTGAGTTCTGGGGATTGTGGTAATTACTGAGTTGTAGATATGATGTGTCACGATATAAATTCACTTTGTCAATGTCAGGTAAGGTTTGAGGTGACTGGTAGAGCCAAGTCTGTTGTAATAACATGTTTCCAAGTTTATCACATCAGTATCTGATAGCGGCACAGAGCTGGCTATTGCTGTAAACCAATCACCTGATGAGTCACTTGGAGTTTTAAAGACAGGAGGCTTTCTGGATGTCCTGGCAGCTATGAAGCTCATGTGAAGGCAGCTCACAGAATCCCTCCTGAAATAGTATAAGCATCACAGGTTCTTCACCTGCTCTCTGACATCCTTGGTTGTGTTTGCATGGAAGCTTGCTCCCAGCCACTTGTGAACTGTTAGGAACTCTAAGGCATAACTGTTGGGAGATATGAGCTCCTTAAAGAAGGAGTTGGCCCAGGTTTGCTGATGGCCTTCCTGAATCTTCCCTGGAGTGCATGGCAATGCAAGATGATGCCTCCCTATCTTTCCTATGGAGTACACTTGCTTCCCAGTCCGATGTCCTTCCCAGTGCCCTTGCCACTTTCCATCATGGGTGTTTGTTCCAGCAAACCTTGTACCTTTAACTACATCTTGAATTCTGCTTCTCTGGAGACCAGACTAGAGCAATCTATACCAGCAGTGGTTTAAATGACCACTTTCTGCTGGGGTAAAACGAAGCCACTGGGATTTAAAATTTTCATCAGAACATGTGGGTGCCATTTGCTTTTGCAAATGCTTTCATTTTTCCTCCTTTAGAGAACCAAACTATTTCTCTGGGGAAAAACCCTTTCCTCATTTCACATTACCATAAAAAATGACCCTTCTTATTCCAGGCTCAGGGCACTGTTACACCAGTCCTTTCTTGAATGTGATGATTCTGTTATTCCCAGCACTGATGCCAATACTGAATCTGCAAAACTACTTGCCTCCTTTTTATTCTGTTAGCTTCCTTGTATCCTTTGAATTTTTAAAAATAGATATTTTATTTAATTAATTAAGCTGGGGCCAAATTCTATGGTTTGCAATCAAACAGTCTTGAATATTTACTCTTATATATTTTTGGTTTGGCAAGATGGATATCATAGTTTGAAGTTTAAGTATTTCTATTCAAGCATTTTGAGTTTAATCTAGTAAAGAAAATGACTTTACATTTCAGAGAATAAAATTTAAGCTCCATATTTAGAGTTCACTTATATGGCGATGTTATATAGACACCAAAATAAACTCTTTTTACTTGCATTTTCCATAAACACTTTGAAGTACCTGCATATATTTCTTAACTTCTATAAGCTGTGGTTGAATTTCATCAATAACATGAGGGTAAAACAAGAACCTGGCACAAAAGTTCATTGAAAACACAAACAGACCTATATACAAAATTCTCTTGCAAGCTCTTAAATTCTGTTACCATCTGTTTGTTTTTCTATTAGTGTCTGGTGAAAATTACTATGGTTTGATTCTTGTACTAGATGTCTACAATGCTTAGTAAATGCACTTTTACAATACATTTATTTAAGGGGGTAGATATTGAGAGATCAACAGAGAAGGTGAGAAAGTTCTTATCAATCAATTCAATTTCTAAATGCCCACAATAGCTGGCCTGAAATGGACTGAGCTGAAACCAGAAGCTGGAACTCAGTCCGGATCTCCCAAATGGGTGACAGCATCTAAACAATGTGACTTATTACTGCTGCATACTACGGAATGCATTAGCAGAGAGCTGGAGTCAGGAACCAAGGCTGAGACTTGAACTCAACACTCTGCTGGGGGATGCACATGTCCTAACTTCTGGGCTTAACACCTATCACTAAGTACACTTAGAGAGAAATAAAGATTGAATTTTTATTTATTTATTTGAAAAGCAGAGTGGCAGAGAGAAAGGGAGACAGAGGGAAGAGAGAGCCCTCTCTTCCTATGATTCTATGATTCATTCTCTAATTTGTCATGACAGCTAGGTACAGGCCAGGCCAATGCGAGGAATCGGGAATTGCTCTTCCATGTGGGTGGCAGGAAACCAAGCGCTTGGACCATCATCTTTTGCCTTCCCAGGCACTTTAGCAAGAAGCTGGGTCAGAAATGGAGGAACCAACACTTGACCTGGCACTCCAGTAAGGGATACTGGTGCTGCAGATAGTGGTTAATCTTTGCTACAAAGTGCCTAAGTGCACTCTTTGTTCTGAAATCATCTAGCTAAGGAACCAATATCATCGTCATGGTATCCCTCTGCTTGAAGTAATATGTCCTTTCAGCAATGGCAAATCATTTTCATTTTGAGTGCCACCCCAGATGTACTGGCAGCAACTCTGAGGGATGTTCTATTACAAAATGATATGAAGCCAAATCTGAGAAAAATATGACATGATCAATTGGCAGGGGCTGCTATGTATGTAAGAGGAGCTGAGTGGCAGCATTACAACACACATTTGCTGATTCTGACTTGTCCAAATCTCTTAGTTTGCATGTGTCCAAATTGAGGTTGAACCCTTTAAAAAAGTATCTAACATTTTTGCAGATATTTAATGACTGAATCATAAAATCACCTGACTCTTTACAGCCCCTTTCTAAACCCAATCTATGCTTTACTAAATTCACATGCCTGCCTAACAAAGAGTAAACATTTTTAAACTCAAAATGTCCACATTTGCTTTATCTGTAGCCTTATTACTTTTGTTTGGTGGCAAATATTCTCTGTGGTTTCTGAAGCCAACAGTTTAGTTTGTTGTTGAATCTCCAAAGGGCAGCAGCAGCCATCCAGTGTTAGGCCAGGTCAAAGCCAGGAACCTGGGATTCCATCCACTCCCTGGTTCACTCCCCAAATGCCTTTAACAGCTAAAAGCGGATTAAGCAAGGCCAGTGTGTAGAATTCAATCAGCATCTGCCATGTGGCTAGTAAGGATCCAACTACTTGATCTAGGTCTTACTCTTTAAAAACAAAATGCATTTGAAGTTTGAATATGAAGAAATGAGACTGGCTTTTCTTATGGTTTGTAGAATTAGCTCAGTTCTTTCTAGTCCAGTATTCCAATCAGCAAATTTTGTGTTAGCTGGTTTATGAGAACTAGGTTACAGAACCACTTAAATTAATTAGCTTATTAACTATGTAAATAAAAGTATAGACCCTAGAAGGGTGTTATCTTCCATTGAAAATAAATTATGGTTGGCATTTTTATCTTCACCTCTGAACAGAGTGAAGGATGCTTCAGTCCTTAAAGGAAGCTGAACTTGTAGCTTTCCCTCACCAGTCAATCAGTAAAGAGAAAGGCAGCACTTCCCCGGATGTGTCAGTTCTCTGGGTTCTAGTGCTCTGTTTTTATCTTTTATTTTACCTGGCTTGTGGATGCCCGTTTCTATACTAGGAGGTAAACCAGAGCATATATATGTAGCTCTTTAATGGAGAGATAAATTACTAAACGTTGAAAAGTACACCTGAAAAGCATAATGATGAGTTTGAAATGTCTTGTACAAGAAGTAGAAGAGAGAGTATGATACTAACTGGATGTTTGCTGTGAAAATAAATGGTATTAGAGTCTCTCATGTTTTTTTTTTTTAATGACAGAATTTTCTAAGTTTATTTCACATCTTTGTCTGACTCGTGCAAAAGGAAATCAGGATTGGGAACCTGTGCATTTTGTCATTGGTGTGCGCACCAAGAAGAATCGTTTAATTGCAATTTCCAAACAAGAGGAAAACTCCACATCTCCTTCCCCTACTCCTGCCCTGCGTTCTCTGCCAGCCTCCTCTGTCCCACCATCCAAAACTCATCTGGTTTAAAGCTAAGTACTTTTGGGGATGATAACATTTTAGATTGCTAGCTGTGGTTTCTATCACCATCCGTTTGGATGCCAGGGCCAGGTTTGGTTAGAAAGTACAGAGAAATCAGTTTGTACTTCTGGGAGTGGGCACACTGACTCAGGAGCAGCCCAGGAACAGTGAGTTCTGCCCAGAGGACAATCTCACAGTCTTTAACCAGGCGTCAGGACTGGCTCCCCTCACCTCACTCACATCACTCGCGAGTGTCTTTTTATGTTCTGCTTGGCATTTTTTCTTTTTTATCCAAGCTCTTCTAAACATTTTTGTTGCCATTCAATACTTACTTTAAAATCATTTCATCCTGCCTTCAAACTGATTCGCCTGCTTAGTCTCAGTTTTGAGATGTTTACCCATGAATTTACCCAGAGAAGAGGAAAGAGACTTACCTATTATTTCTGCTGTTGTGCTTGAACTCACATTCTCAACTTTAAAGGAAAGAAAAGGAGAAAAAACACCAAAATGAAACACTCGGTGATAAATGGATTTGCACAATTAACTTCTGTTTCATTTTTCTTCAAGACATAAGATCATGAGATTTCATGTTTGGAAGAAATTTTAGAGGAGGAATCAAATTTTTTTTTTTCCCTTGGGGTCGAACACCAAATCTTTCAGGTTAGCCTGACTCTAAGTCATTTTATCACTTCTTAACTCTGGTTTTTAGTGTAAATACAATGACATAACATGTGTGCACCACTGTGTTCCAATAAAGCTTTATTTTAAAAATCAGAGGGATTTAGAATGGTTTGAGTACTATATAGTTCATTGAGTCCTGTTTTGAAGTACCTGGTTCAGATTCATGTCTTGAATACCCTGAGATAGCACAGACAGCAGTAGATCCTCCAGCATATGTCGCATGAACAAGCTGCAATGTGTACCAATCCCACTAAGACAAGGCATTGCATGAACTTGGGATGGCAAGAAGGCCCTGACGTATAGTTGGAAACCTAGGAGATCCCTTTATTACCAAGAGCCCAACAGGACTGTCTGCCAGAAAAGCCACTGAAAATAATGGCAGAGATCTTTTTTGGAGCCTTGAATTTATGCAGCATGTACCAATCTGTCATTTGAAAAACAATTTTGAAACAAATAGAAGTTCAGTAATGCTGTTTAAAAATTACCCTTTTGTCTTCTTTGCATAATTACTTGGCTGTCTATGTTAGAATTTTAAATTTAACTAGTGACCTCAACTCTGCCTATTCAAAATCATGGATCAGTGGTATGGAAGCATATTGGTCAGGGCAAAGCATGAATGGCCTTTCTTTAGTTTCTACTTTCCTTTATTCCTCCAGATCCAGCTTTACATGTCATGTATTCAAAAATGTCTCACTACCAACACCCATTTCTCTCTCTCAGTGGTGTGTTGCTTAGAAAACTGTTTAAACCTAAACTTAGTCGCTTGAGTGCTTCTCTGTTCTCTCTGATCCATGGCAGGCCCATTTTTACAGGACACAGCCCCTGGCTTGACCTCCTTCGATCTGCAAGCATTGAGGCCCTTGTTTTTACCCTTCTCCCCTTGTGTTTCTGTTGAGTACAGTAAAGTCACGAGGCTCTTCCTGACTTTGGTTTCTGTCCTTTCTCTGGGCCTCATTCTTGCAGTTTATACTGGTTCCTTATTTCTACCCTATTCTGCGCAGATGTTACCATTTGGAAAATTTGTTCCAGCTGCCCTAGCTAGTCTCTTGGCACTCATTCCATCACCCTACTTCATTAGCCCAACAACAGGACTTATATTACAAATGATGAAGCTCCCTCTCTCTGGGAAACACTGCATAACACCTACTGGTATGTCACTCCATGAACATAGATTTCCAGTCTTTTTAGAGCTGCAATTTTAGTGCTACTAGGACACAGCAGAGTTGGTCCACTGCAGAAAATACCTCATGAATGAATGAAAGCAGAAAATATTAATATGACAAGTAATACTAGTTATATGTACTTAAATGTTTAAGAAAACATTTAAGCACCATTTAATTACTAATTAGATAATGATATTACTGATTTTGAAAAGCAATTCAGATGCTGATGCTAGCATATTTATATTACCTATGAGATTTGATTATTTCTGTGTTGCATATTTGCAAATATTAGCAGAGAGAAATAAAAGCTTCTAAGGAGGGACCTATACTATAAAACTGGTTTGAAATTTCATCTTCTTTCACTACATAACTGGTTCTTGCTTCCATTAAGCTGTTCCAAACTGAAAGTGCATGGTATTTATTCCAAATTTTGATAACTAGTCAGAATACTACTGCACATGGCACAATGCTGCATTTGGGAATGCAGTTGAAACAATTGTTAGTTTTAGAGGATTAGAATACAAAAAACCCCTCAAGCCTTTGCGCCTTTTATTAATAATTGGCCAAAACCTTTCTTGCTGATAGAACCGATTGAGAATGGAAAAATTAAAGTCAGTGTTAGACAAAATCTTCCAGCTATCCTTTATTTAAATCTGATTTTAGACACAGTTTTTTGTATCGCTGGTTTTTTGTTTTTTGTTTTTTGTTTTGCTTGTGGAGTCAAAGTGTTGAATCAATCAGGAATTCTATTTAAAAATTTTAGAACTTTGGAATTATTTTTTCTAGAGGAATAATTTTAAAAATAAATGAAACAGGAGATTGACATGCAATTTTCAGAGAATAGAAAAAATATGAGAGTGTTTTTAAGAACATACTTTGCTTTTATCTGCATCCCATATTTCTGGAGAATAAAATTGCTCTATGCTCTAAGTGAAACTTGTGTTTACTATAGTCTTGATATGACATATCTAATATTAGCCATTGAATATCTAAGATAGGGATGATTCTTTAAATATTACACCTTCTATTATTATAGTTTTGTCCTCTGTGTTTTAGATGTGTCAATTTTAGATGTGTGTGCATATTATATATATAGTACATATATAAAAGATGGTACTCTGCTAATCCATAATCTGGGGTGAGAGATGGAGGTTTCGCCACTTGGACAGCAGAAATGTGTGCATTAAAAATTGGGGCTACACAGAAAACACCATGAAGAAGGAAGGAATTCCAGGGAAGAGTGATATATTTTTTAATGACTTGGAAGAAAATAATTTCAAACTGTGTTTAGAAGATAAATGAATACAGCAAGCCCTAGACCTGAGCTATCGGGGGCATTTTATTTCATGATTCACAGAGAAACTAAGAATCTTAAGTGACTCATGGGAACAAACACATATTTCTCTATAAATTCTAATTTTAATAACTTACAGCCCATGAACAAAATTTTCTTCATCAGCTACCACTGAAAGGCTGAATGGATGAGTGTTTATTGCAGAGCATCAATTACTTGAATGTAGTCTTCCAGAAATTACAGAAACTTTTGCAGATATATGTATGTATGCATGTGTATATGTATGTATATATATACTTACACACATATACATGGTTTTATTTTTGTATATATTAAAAATAATTATACAAGGAAATGGGTCACTTTTGGTTCACTAAAGTTTCCTTTCAATTATTTACACATGAAATGGGTTCTATTTGTCAGAAGACAAGAAAACACTATTATAAGGACATGCTGATCAAATCTTCTGAATTCTTCCTTGGGGCTCTGTCTCACTAAAAGGAATTATCATTTTACAATTATGGTATGAAATCTAGCTAGCATTTTGATGTTGTGCTAAATTAAGTTGACTACAATAAAAAAGGGGAATGGTGCTACACAATGGTGCTCTTGATGTTTTGCTACACAAGAGTTGATTTTGATTTTCTATCTCTTCCTTGGAGGTCTCTTAAGAGCTTTAGACTGAGTCATCCCTCACTGCTTCTTAGTAAGGGCTATGGATATGCCAATAATGCAGGAATTTCTGACAGTTACTTTTGCAGTCAAGACATTTTGGCAATACATATGATTACAGACTATTTGTATCGCAGAAACTAGAATGTGACAGGTGCTTATTGTGGGAATACATATGGACAGCATCTAGCGCAATGTCAGAAATCATGGGAGGTCCAGGTTCTGCTACTCTCTGTCTCAGGAATAATTTCATTTAACTCTCTGGGTTTATCCTCATGTTCCCCATTCTTGTCTATTAGTTCTAGTCTATTTCTCCACAATGGGCAAGACCATGAATCACCATGACTGTCTCAGACTCACTCATAAAACTTCAGTATCTGTTTCCCAATAGCTCCAGTTTTTGTGTAAATTGTGTAGGGCAGATTACTCAGAAAGGAAGTTTGATGCCCTAAGCTCCACATTTTCCATTTTTTTGTTTCTAAGCCAAACTTTGTAAATATTGCTTAGATATCACTAAGTTCATTCATGTTAACTGTGCAATGAATAATTTGGTGAATGTATAGAATTTTGCATCCAACTACACAATCTAGTTTTACAACAGTGTTTTCAGGTAATAATTTGGCCTTTTTGTGTGCCTATGAAAATGTCCTATTTGTATAGTTGGTATCAGTGAAATTATGCTGCATGACATATTTATTTTATAAGTTTCTTTCACTGTGCATAATATTTTTGAGATCCATTTTTTATTACTATTGCTTTAGATTGTATGTTGAAATTGGTCTATGTAAGGATTCTAGTGTTGTTGTTTATACAAAGTGTTTTGGGTATTCTAGGTTCTTCTCATTTCCATAAAAATTTATGGATTGGCACTTGAACCTCCAAAATTTGTGTTTTTCTAATAAATTTCCCATTTTAAGACATTCCTGTTTTGTTGGCATAGCTGCCATTTGTGGTGCCATTGATATCACAGGTTATTACTGCACAGCTTTAAATTGATATTCCCCAATACACACTCATTTGTGGCTATAGTGAGCACCATAAAAAATAGGGTTGTTATAACACTTTCCTATTTGGTAGGGAGAGACTATAAGTATAAGGATGTAAGCCCTGGGGCCTGGCATTCTGGCCTAGTGGCTGAACCTTTGCTCTACATCATCCAGGACCTCATGTTGGCACTGGTTCTTGGCTGTTCCACTTCCCATCCAGCTCTCTGCTTGTGGCCTGGGAAATCAGTAAGGAACTTTGGGGCTCTACACTCACATAAGAGAGCTGGAAGAAGCTTCAGGTCCTTGGGTTCAGATTGCCTCAGCTGCTTGGAGAGTGACCCAATAGATGAAGCATTTTTTTCTGTCTCTCCAATGCAAATAAATAAATCTTTAAAAATGCAGTCCCTTTGCAACTGTGGCATTGTGAGACATTATGAGGCTTTGTTCGGCTCAATGTGCTAAACAGACTGTTTAGAACACATCCTCATACTTACCCTTGGGTTGGGGACTTTGTACAGTTGAGATAGCATTGACAGTTGGAAGATTAGTCATTGTGTCATTTGCAGTGACAGACTCGTTCTTTGTGATGCCATTGCTTGTGGTTCCTAATTACATAAAAACATAAGCAGCAATGAGAGGTAAAACAAATCATTAGTAAGGCTTATTAATATTCATATTAGCAACCAGTTATAGCTTGAAGATTAATTTGCTGAAAATCATCTGACCAAGTTTTAAAATCAGCATTTTGACCTTCACTTTTTACTGATTTCAGTTCATTACTTTAATGATAGTGGAGGGACATTAGACTTTCCTTTGTGCCCACTCTGAATGATATAATTTGATTATGACAGTAATTCTATAAATTAAATAGTCATCATGATTACAATTACAGATGAGGCTTGGAGAAATTATGTAATTTATCCATGGTTTCATAACTTGTAATAGGATAAAGATATGGGCTGAAGCCAAGCTTTCCTGAAGCAAAAATTAAACCACCCAGATACCCTGCTAAGGAAATGATAGCAGTTGAAGATGACACCCAGGTTTTCATACCACATGGGATAGAATTTTCAGGCAGATAAGGCAGCTAGAATATCCAGAGGAGAAAGTAAACAAGCCTTTTTATTGCATTATGTTTTGTTTGAAGGGTCAAAAAGGAAAATCAAAAACAAAAAGAATCCGAGCTTTTAAAAATTGTTATTAGAATAAGATAAAATCCAAATAACCTAAAATACAACAGTGCAACAGAAGCAAAATGATTGATGCCATTTGCTCGTTCATGGTTTAATATAGAGACTGATGAGCTAGTAGAGATGGACATAGCAGTTGGTGTGTACTTAGTGTGAGCTACAAGCGACATTCACTGGAGATACATCGGAAAGCAGCTCAGAAGATTTCTGGCACAGAGCCTGAGTTGTTAATGCTGTCCAGATACGTTAATCACCATCCACTTTGTGACATTACCGTACCATGCTAATTCTTTGTGCTCATCATGGGGAAACTGATAGTTCATAGAGAGTAGAGAAATACAGGATGCCTTCAGGTAAAAACTTGTAATAATTGGTAGGCAAGCAAGCATGAGGATAAAAGCATACACAGGAGTTCTTCAGAAATCTTTGAACTTGAGCTGAAATTGGAAAGTGTAAAAAGCCGTCCAGATGGCCTAAAGGAATGGTTTATGTAAACCAGACTCAACTGTCTTGATGATGGAAATCATGTTAAGCAAGATAAAGTGCTGCTGTATTGAAAAAATGTATAAAGAGAGCAAAATAAGAAAATATTTGCTAATGTAAAGCCAAGAATCTCGCTAAGAGAATTACTTGTTGGTGTGAAATATGATTTATAAATGAGAGTGGAGTTAGAGCCGCATTCTGTTCAGGAGAGATGTTCCAATACGTTGCACTAACTGGACCATTGAGGCAAGCTTAAATGCTTTTATGTGTAAATTAGGATATTAAAAATGGACTCAAAATGAATAGAATGAAAAATATTGAGACTGACATGGCCATAGCAGTAGATTTTCAAATTTTACTAGTAAATGAAAGTGCTTAAATCCTAGCTTAGGAGATGAAAATAGTTTTGTAACTCATGTTTATTAACATATTTGAATCCTACTCTTGTATTACCGTCTTGTTGCAAAATTTTTCTGAACTGCATTTTGGTCACAGGAAGCAGATTCTGGACCACCACTGAAGAACAGACACCTCAGAGAAAAAGAAAATCAGTCTAAAAGTAGGATTTTAAAGTTACATACTTGACTCAATTTCAGATTTCGATCTGGCCAATTTTCTTCCAGATAACAGTATGTACTGTTTTCTCTAACAGATGAGACTTGTCTCTTAAGTCTAGATAACAACATGTATTATGTTTGGCAAATGTAATTTTGCCTTAGAAAACATTATTTAATAAGAGGATTACAACATCATGAGAAAATTGGATTTATCTGTAAGAATTTTGATTTTGAAATGCATATCCTCTTGGATTTTGCTACAGGTAGGAAGGGAGACAAAAACTAAGGAATTTTATCCATATTTGATTTGGAATAAAGATACAATACAAAATATGGTTAAGAGAGTCTAATTAGTATCAGATTTAAGTGTAGAGAAGAAACCCTAACTGCCAGGATCTATTTACATGAAAATCATTGTAGATAAACAGAAGCATGGGGGCGCTGCTTTTTGAATATATTGAAAGTATTAATGTAAGAGTCATTTATTATATTTTAGGGAATTAAATCTATTAAAAGGAATAAAATGATGAGCATGAATTGCACTAAATATTTAATGTAGGGGTTACAGCAGATTAACTTGAAAAGAAGGATTTATGAATTTTAATTGTATGAAGAGGGAAATTAATAGCTTTATTTTCTTGGATTTACATGATTGGAAATACAGTGTTGTTTGTTTGATGACAGCAGCCACAACATCTGGCCTTTTTCTCATAAAAAATGAAACAAAGGGTATGTAAGTTTTTGACAAAAATTATCATTTGCTAAAATAGGAACTGAAGAATGCTTCTACAGTTGCATTCTACTACAGTTGAATGTGGTACAGTATTTAGTTTATTAAAAGATACTTTTAAAACACTTAGAAATAAGTTCAATCAAGAAAGTGATAGGTCTCTACATTGAAAACCAGAAATCATCGATGGAGAGATTGCAGCATATTAAAACAGTAAGATATCCCATGTTTATAAATTAGAAAAGTTCGTGAAAACACATGTTACGGAAACATGTACATGAACTGCAGAATTTTTGCATCAAAATAAACAAATTCGTTAATGACATTTCCCATGTAAGGTGTTTTTTATATTGGGTTTTGTGTCTAGTGCTGCTGTAAAGGTTGGACTGTAGCTATCCTTATGAAGTGGTGATTTCATTTCCTTAGGGTACATACTCAGAAAATAGATTGCTAACTCAGCCTTATTTTATCATCTCTTTAGGAACACTCAAACTCTTTTCTGCAATAACCACACAAATCGACACTCCTATGAGCAGTGCACATTGTTTCACATTTCTTCTTCTTGTCATCATTTACTAAAGTGTAAAATGCCTGTATTGTGGCATCACTGCACTGTTTGTAATAATAACCATCCAAAGGCATGAAGCATTATCTCATATAGATTAAGCAAACATGCATTTCTAGAAAATCAACAACTATCAAAATGGAGATGAGAACGAATATAATATCTGATTGATCTCTATTGGGTAAAGAGGTTGAGTTATTTAAAAACAAAACAAAGCAGAATAACACTTTCCACAAAGAAATCCTAGGATCAGACTGCTTTTCTGCTGCATTCTCATTTAGTGTAAAACTTCAACTATTCCTCCCTGACAACTGCTCCACAAGTTAGAAAAAGGAATACTTTCCAATTCACGCTGACAGGTTAAAATTACTGTAATAGCCCAAACAAAGGCCTCACACACAAAAATATTGCAAACCTACATGCATTATGAATGTAGATGTAAAATTATTAAATAAGAAAACACAATAAAATGAAGCACTATATAAAAAAGATTTTTATGCAATAACCAAGTTGAACTAATGCCAGCAATTTAAGGTTCATGAAATATGCAGAAATAAGTGTCAGGTGACATATTAGTAAAATAAAGGAAAAAACAAATGATAATCTCAATATATTAATATTGATTAAAGAAAAAAATTAAGAACAATAGCCTTACATGATAAAAAGAAAACAAAATTTAACAAACTTACTAGGATAAATTTTTTCTTCCCGATAAAACTTGTCTATGGAAACCCCAAATTTAACATCATAATTAATGATGAACCCTTTGTAATTCAAATCAGATGTATCTCCTCTCACAACTTCTATTCAACATTGCACTAAGGAAAATAGGCAGTGTAGGTAGTGTAATTATGCAATAAAATAAAGGCATTTAATCTGGAAATGAAGAAGTAAAACAATTTGCAGAAGACATATCTTGTGTACTGAAAATCTCAAAGAATACACAAACACACATACCCAAATTAAAAATGAGTTCAGCAAACAGAAAAAAAAAACACAGTATCAATACATGATAGTAAATGGCTACTCTTTACAATAGCAATGAACAATTTAAACTTGAAGTTAAGAAAAATAATCCTGCTTAAAAAAAATCACCAAATTGAAAAATGCCAGGGATATATTAAACAAAGCACTTCAATTCTTATACGTTACAAACTCTAAATATCACCGTAAGAAATGAACAAAACAGAAATGGAAAAACATTCTGTGCTCATGGATTAAAATTTAAGATAATTAAAATGACTATATTTCCCTTATTCTATTACATGTTCTATATAAAACCCAAGCTAGCTTCCTACAGAAATTCTCAAGTTGATTCTAAAATTTGTTTCGAAATTCAAGTTACTTAAAAATGATAAAATTTAGAAAAAGAGAAAACTATTTTAATGACTCATACTTTCCATTTTCAGAACTTAACATAAACTTTGTTATAATTAATATAATTAAAATATATTAATGTATATACATATAAATGTATACACATAGGTTAGTAGGCTAGATTTGATACTCCAGGAAATACAATAAAGTGCTCATGTTTATGTCAATTGATTTTCATAAAGGATGTGAAGATAACAAAAGAGGGAAACAATGATTTTTTAAATAACCAAATAGCACAAATAGACATGGACATGTGGGAAATGCAGTTAGATATCTACCTCACAACATATATAGAAACTGAAGTGTGACACTTAATAGCTAAAACTTTGCTCTTTTTATAAAACATTCAGAAGACAGTAATGAAAATCTTTGTGGCCTTAAAATGGGGAGTGGTTTCTGGGATTTCATTTCTAATGTACAAATGACAAAAGAGAGGACTAATCAATTTTAATAGAAAAAATAGAGATTTTGGTCCTTAAAAGAATATCATCCTAAAACTAAAACCCACCTATAGAAAAGGAGAAAATTCTTGCAAATGATCTATCTGATAATGTTCTGTTTTTCAGTATATAACTCCTATAATTGTACACTAAAATGACAACACATTTTTGTGTTTAAAGGATTTGAATAAACTTAATCCCAAATACTGTCTGTAGTTGGCTAATAGGCATATGAAATGTTTTAAGTATCCTTAATACCTAGCAAAAGGTAAATCAAAACCAAAATGAAATACTATTTCACATGCACTAGAATCAATACGATTAAAAACAAGGGTTATGCTCTAATATCTCCTTGCTGATGGCAATGAATAACTGCTGTGGAAATCAGTTCTTCAAAATGTTAAATAAAGAGTTTGCTACAAGTCAGCAATCCCACTCCAAGCCATGTCCCCAAGATAAATGAACAAATATCAGCACATAGAAATGTATGCACAAATGTTAACTGAAGTATTCTTTGATGTCTTGCAAAAATAAGAAATGCAAATATTCATTAACTAGAAAATATGGAAAATGTGTTATACCCATACAGCTAAATATTGTTCAGCTCAAAAAAAATATGAAGAACTACAGATAGGTTCTGCAACATGAATGAAATTGAGATGATCATGCTAAGGTAAGGAAGCTAGACACACTAGGTCAAATATTGCATGTTTTTGTTTGAGTAAAAGATCCAGAATAGGTGTATATGTGAGAAGTTAGTAGTTGCTGGAGGTTGAGAAAATAGGGAATGTAGAATGAACAGTAATACAGGGTTTCCTTATAGAGAGAGAAAAATATCTGCTGTTTGATAATGGTGATGATCACACAAACTGTGTGAATGCACTAAAAAATGCTAAATTGTCAACTTTAAAGAAGGTTTACTATTGTGTGTCAATTATAAAGACTTGAAAATGGTGGCAAAAATTTTCACTCACCTTCAACTGTAACCGTCGTAATTGAAGAAACTGTTGACATCAGAGATGTTTTTGATGATTCATTGTTGATTGTTCCTGGTTTGATAAGACAGATGACATTATTATTAGTCACAATCTGATTTCACCTGTCAAGGAATAAATAAAATTAAGTGAAATCTGGATGTGAACTGAAATTCATCTACAGTGGGACTGGACAAACTTTCATTTTTCCATTTTCCAGCTTCTTTTTCATCTAAAGGATTAGGCATTGAATGCCTGAATGGATGGTAAAAAAAAAAAATTCACATATTTTTACATGTAAAGTGAAAATGGAAAATTTCCACTACAGATGCTTACTAGAGCATTATCAAACACGCAATAAATTGCTACAAAACTAATGATTTTAAGTTATTTTCTTTTTCTCTATGGGAGAAATGATCTGGTTAGCAGAATCTACATACATTATGCTTTTTACTTCAAAGTTACATTTTATTTTGTTTATTTAGTTGTGGCAATGAAACACGCAGGTGAACACAAGCAAACAAAAAACTCTATTTGTGTATTCAGGAAACATTCTTTATGTCTCCATTCTTGGCTTTTCCTAAACTACTGGTGGGAAGCATGCAACACTTACTCAACCTTCATAATCCAAGTGTTATCAAGAGGAATTACTAGCATAGAGTAGGCACTGAGTAAATGTTTCAATGGGGCACACAGGCCACAAGGATCCAACAGGACAAAGATCTGCCTTAAAAGGTCAACATGACGTATCAGCTTGACATCCACTCTGCTACAGTTAACATTCCTTGGTTTCTTAAAATCCTTCATAACTTTCAAGATCCTTTCTTGTATCTTTTGAAAAAAGTATTTTAGTATATCCTGTGTGATTAGGGTGTTTATCTCACATTTACTATATGTCATAAATATAATTGTGCTTCTCATACTTAAATGTATGCACACAGTCTTTGAGGGAAGAACCAGTTAGCTCTGCACAGTTAACCAAATGCTTTAAAATTTTAGTCCAGATGAGAGCTTTTAAAAGGTAAGTGGCTGAAGCTGTGCATCACATACTAAGGAATCATAAGAGGAAGACAACACCTGTGCAGGATGATTGTAGGATAACGTCCAGGCAGTTAGGAAAGGGTTTTCCTACTGCCCACCACTCTGTCTCCATTGCTTATCAGGAAATATATACTCCTAAAATGATGGAAAGTGTTGCCACAGATTCTGTGAATTATAATGTAATATGGAGAGTGCCTGAGCATTTATGACTTTCTAAACATCTTTCAGACTCTTATGTGATTATATTTCAAAGGAAGAATCCTACATATGAAATTGTGTTCCACTAAGCTTTGAGTTGCCTACTCACATGATGTCAACAGCGTAAAATCAGGATGAAATGATGTGACTGAACATTTCCTCTAACTCCTCTGTTGCCTTTCTTTGCACTTCATCTGTTAGTATTCATAGTATTCACAGTGGGCTGAACTGCAGTTTTACAATTAGTTTACATTATCGTTCACTGACATGTCACATGCATTGTTTCAAAACACAAAACATGAAAATCACCTAGACTCTTACAATTACAATAGTGACTATAGAACATAGGATGTGTCAAATGTGTATAACCTTATGACTTCTCAAAGCCAATGATCCTTTTCCTTGACACCTATTCTGGATTTCTGCTTGAAAAGAGGAAGAGATATGGGTTGAGTTTTGGACTTAATTTAATATTCAGTCACTTTGGCTTCAGTTTTAGTTTTGTCTTTGCAAAACTGAAGATTCAAAAGGTTAATATTTTGACTTTTTAAAAACAAAATTGTCTTATTTAAATAGCAGAGTTATACAATTAAACACACACACATACACACTAGAAAGAGAATGGGGAGAGAGGGATCTTTTCATCCACTGATTCACCATCCAAATGACCATAGCAGAAGGCACCGAGAGCCTCTAATTTCATTTCGCTTTCTCATTGAGCACTTGGCGCCATCCTCTGCTGATTTCCTTGGCACAGCAGCAAAGAGCTGGATGGAAGTGGAGCAACTGGGATTCCAACAGGTCTCATATTGGATACTGTCATCGTATGCAATGGTTTAAGTTGCTGAAACACAATGCCAGCCCTGTCATATGTTCTCAAAATTGTGCTTCAGGAATGACCTTTTGTCAATGTCTATGATCATTACAACAATCAGTGAGACAATATTTATAACTGAATCATAAATTATTTTACTTTTTATTTTGGTTATTTTTCCAGTTTCAGTGAAGTAAATTAACAAAAAATGTGTATATCTAAAGTGTACAAAGTGTGATGTTTTGGTATATAATTTGTGAAATTATTCCTACAGTGAAAATGAAACATATGTATCTCTTCACACAGTGACCTTGTTTCTTTTTTTGTTGTTGTAAATACCAAGGACAGTACTTTGATTATTTGTTAATATATTAATGCTTACTTTAAAAAAATGAATGAACATTTATGCACTTTAAAGTGATCTTCTGTATTATTAAATGCAAATGCTAAAGTATGAATGCATATTAATTATTAAAGATTAAATTTTGCAGTATCAATAACATTAATTTCTATTAATTTATGTATAAAATAATTATTACATGTCCTGAAGTATATAATTAGAGTGAGATTATTACATTCAAATGTATAAATATGTATGTGTGTTTGTCTTTAAGGATATTACATTGAGTCAACAAATGTTTATGAACGACTAAATTTTTAGAATATAATAATTCTCTGTAAAATTGCATAGTCAGGGCCCGGCGCGGTGGCACAAGTGGTTAAGGTCCTTGCCTTGCACGCCTGGGATCCCATATGGGCGCCGGTTCTATCCCGGCAGCCCCGCTTCCCTTCCAGCTCCCTGCCTGTGGCCCAGCAAAGCAGTCGATGACAGCCCAAAGCTTTGGGACCCTGCACCCGCGTGGGAGACCCTGAAGAGGCTCCTGGCTTCGGATTGGCATGGTATCGGTCCGTTGCGCTCACTTGGGGAGTGAATCATCGGACGGAAGATCTTCCTCTCTGTCTCTCCTCTCTGCATATCCACCTTTCCAATAAAAATAAAAATAATAATAATAAAAATTGCATAGTCAATCAGCATTCTTAGCATTTTCCAAAATGACTTTTTGAACCTGTGTTAAATTCCACTTAGGTTACAAATGTTTCAATAAAATCTATAATTTGCAAACATTTCTTATTTTGTAATGATAAACTAAAAGCAAGATAAACATTCTTTTTTGATATACTACAAAAAAGGAGAACCAAAAATTCAAGTTCAGGGCTGCACCAGGTGATTAATTTTCTTTTTTTATGTAAGATTTATTTTATTTTTATTGGAAATGCAGAAGTACAGCAAGAAGGAGAGACAGAGAGAAAGATCTTCTGTCCACTGGTTCACTCCCCAAGTGGCTGCAATGACCAGAGCTACGCCAATCAGAAGTTAGGAGCCAGGAGCTTTTTCTGGGTCTGCCACTGGGTGCAGGGCCCCAAGGTCATCCTCAACTGCTTTCCAAGGCCACAAGCAGAGAGCTGGATGAAAAGTGGAGCTGCTATGACAAACCTGACACCCATATGGCAAGAACTTTAGCCACTAGGATACTGTGTCAAACCCACAGGTTGTTAATTTTCAACTCAAACTTAACGAATAATAGAATAAGATTGCACAAAGAACTGCTATGGAGTAAAATAAACTAACCATGTTAAGTTTTCCCCAATTATCTTATTAGGGAAATCAGAAAAATCATATTTTTGTATTTATTCTTTGCAGTTTCATTTTGTCAGTTCCTATATAAAAGATCCTCATTTTATGTTGGTGACATTCAGTGTCTGACAAATGTTGATTTTTAACTCCAGTCACTTGGCCTTTGCAAAAAATATGCAGTGCACTTGATGTACATCTAGGACAAAGCTAAGTCCCATCTCCCTAATTGGGTAAATCTGTAAAAGCAAGTCCTGCTTTGGACAAAACTCTATCAATCAGTTCTGCCACTGTGACTCTGCCTCTGTAAGAATTCTCTTACACATTATCCATTTTTCTGATGACAGAATTTCTGCCCTTGGCAATAGGAAGAAAATTTATGTACTTTAGATAGACATAAGCATTATTAAGAAAAAGTCTTTTGGCCTTTTAACTGAGAAAATCTGACTGGAAAGCTTTAAAATGAAAATATAACAGCTTATCCATGTCCCATATTTTTGGAAGCACCTTAAGAACCATTTTCATCAGAGGAAGGAGGACTAAGGAACTGCTGTGTGTGTGTGTGTGTGTGTGTGTGTGTGTGTGATATTTTCTTTTGGGGCTGGCTTATTTGGCTTATTTAACTAAGCATAGTGGCCACCAGTTGCATCTGCTTTAGTGAAAAAGAGAAGTTTTAGATGGTAATCTTGAAAAGTGGGTGCAAGTATAAAACTCCCAAATTTAAACATTTCCTAGACTTGAAATCAGGAAGCCAAATACAACTGATCTTCAAAAAGTTCATGGAAAATGTACATTATGAGAAAACTAGACATAGATGTCCAAATGTTTTGAGATTAAATAAACATCTTTTAGTTTCATTTTCCCACAAACCATTTACAGCACCCTTGTATACTGACATACTGTATAGAACATGAAAAGTTTGGCAAAATGTTCATTGTTTGCATACTGTACTTTGATGATATTGTCTTTAGGAGCCCAGGAAACATCCAACATACAGGACCTAATGCACATGCAACCTTACTAAGTCATGAGAAGCAAGCACATCAGATGATGAGAAGCGGCCTTGCTTGTTCTTCTCCTCTGGGTTTCTCCAATTCCAGAGACACCAGGGATTTCCCAGCTGCACAGTCACCATCCCAAGCTTTACCACTTCTAAGGTGTTGACTGGAATTGCGTCACCTGCTTAAATCCCCTCCAGTCTCAGCAGAACATCCAGGATGCATTTCCTCCACTTATTCCATCCTATAGTATATTTGTGTTTTATTAGATTTTAATGTTTAAAATGTCTAGAAATACATATTAAATATATCATCATGATATTGTTAGTTTGTGACATTTGCTAACATCATAATATCTTTGTAATAAGTTATTTACATAGTTTGATATGCATATTATGTATTTTAGGGTAAAATGATAAGAAGTCTAGATTCCTTTCAAAACACTTTAATAATCAAAGCTTAATAAGTGGAATAAAACAATAAATGAAAGAAGGAATGAAGGAATGAAGGAATGAAGGAGGGAAGGAAGAGTGGGAGGATGGAAGAAAGGAAGGAAAAGGATGTATAGGTAAACAGGGATTTGGAGAGATGGGCACTTGGAAAACAATTATAATATTCTCTATTTGGGGGTATATCTGATCACTTTTATAATGAAAAATTAATTTAAAAAAAAGTTGCCCTGACCTATTACAATTTATACACTTGCAGAAGTATAATTTAAAACACAACTAGAAACTTCTGTAGAACACAGACAAGAAATTAATTAGGTAATATAAGTCAACAGAAGTGTTAAACAGAGAAATTGAAACGAATACATGCTTGCTTAAGAGTGTGAGTGCATGTATGCGACAATGTACATTTAAAAACTCAAGTGTTCTATGAACTTTCCATTGTAAGCACAATCAACAGTAAATTCGCTAAAAATGTCTCAGTAATGGTTTATTTGAACTTTTAAAACCAACGGACAAGATGCATTTCTGGTGCTACCAAATACAATTCTGTTAGAATTACTTCACTGACCCCTATGTCTATCCTTTCATGGTTGCTTAACACAGTGGTCAGGTTTGTGTTTTTATAAGGACAATGTTAGGGGCCCAGCGCGATAGCATTGTGGTTAAAGTCCTTGCCTTGAATGCACCAGGATCCCATATGGGCGCGGTACTAATCCCAGCAGCCCTACTTCCCATCCAGCTCCCTCCCTGTGGCTTGGGAAAGCAGTCCAGGATGGACCAAAGATTTGAGACCCTGCACACCCTCATGGAAGATCCAGAAGAAGCTCCTGGCTCCTAGCTATAGATTCGCTCAGCTCCAGCCATTGCAGCCACTTGGGGAGTGAATCATTGGATAGAAGATCTTCCTGTCTCTCCTCCTCTCTGTATATCTGCCTTTCCAATAAAAATACATAATTTTTTTAAAGGACAGTGTTGTTTAACATGGGTCTTTATAAACAGGGCTAGGAATTTGCCTAGAGGGAAATTACAGTTTGATGTAGTTAGCACAAGTTTTTAAATTCAAATTTGGGGGTCTGTATGTATCAGCAGCAATTGCATGTAGTTATATTTTCTAAGAGTATTATAATTCATCTGGGAGTACAGGACTGTAACAATTTCAGAAAATACAAAAAAAAAATACAGTCTGTGGCAGTTGACTGGAGGTCATTTGCCATGACTTCAGATTATGTATTGTAGAGTTTCCCATGATTGGAAACACAGATTGTACAAAACTGAGAATGCAGTTTGCCTTGTTGCTTTCTTTGTGGGATGCTCTCCTTTGCTTTATTGGACAGATACTTGAAAAACTGGCTTGGTTTCTTGTTAGAATCAAATCTTATGGATGCAGTGGACTAAGGTCCTATTCATTAAAGCTATGCATTTCAGTGCATGTGAAGGCTTTAACTGGTCTTCTGTATGTGTTTCAGCTCTGCCTCATAATGAAAATTAAAGGAGGGATGAAGAGATGAGAGGGATAGCAATAGGAACTGCAGTCATTGACTCACCAGGGTTAGTAATTGGTTGGTCTTTCTGCAGGCCTAGCATTTGAACTAATTTTTTTGCTGATAGGCAATCAAATCTGTTTTCCTTCTCCATAATTTGTTGAACTAGAATGAGATGCCTCATTGTATGTGTGTTTTAGGATGAGCAATGCATTGTGGATTGAACTACCAACCTCCTGAGTTTTTAACAAAATGAATCTAATGGCTTTTAAAATCCTTCTGGACAGAGAAATAAACCTTTAATGCCCAGCCAGAAAAGATGATAATGTTATCATTCAGTCCAGTAATGAGAATGATGACACTGTTGCTGACAAACACAAATTAATTTTATTATCAGATCATATAACCAACAAAATCAGTCTGTTTTAATGTAATTTTATTTGTTTATCTGTGCATAAGTGGATAACTATGATGTTTAAGAAGATACTTCTATGACTTGATGCATCATTTTTTATTCTCTAAAAATAAACTTTATGTAGCACTGACAACATGATTATTTTCAAATAGGAAGTGATTCCAAACAATATCCCCAAAGAAGCCAACTGAAATCCCAGAGCTCTGTATACAAGGCAACATGTGAATTTCAAAATAGTGAAATAGCACAAAGATTTATATCCACCTAATATGAGACCCCAAATTATTTCCATGTGTTAAATTAGATAACTTAGCTTTTTATTGTTGTTAAAGTGAGACTATTCAGTCAGTGTTCAAAGTACCTGGAGGAGATGTGCCAAGTGTCGATTTGTGAAGATTAGGTGGTGGTGTTACACTTGTTGCTGTTGTAAATCTTAATTCATGATTTGGTGATGACGATGTAGAGGTCCCCGTATTTTGAACATCTGAAAAAAAAGTAAGTTGTGTTAAAGTAGTTACATTTACATTTGCTTTGCTGGTTAATAGATTAATATTTCAAGCACATTTAAATGCAGAACATTGTATACACACCAACCAGTGTGGCATGGACTTGAAATCAATGTCTTGGTTGTAAGAATCTGTACTTAGCTTAATACTCTTTCACCACCTCTGTTTCTCATCAAGAGCATGAATTTTTAAGATTTCTGTCAGGAGTAGTCCATGGTTCTGACACTGAACTCCCATAATGAAAAAGCAGGACCTAATCTCCTGTCTTGTCCCTTATTCCATTACTCAGTGATTTAAGAGGGATATCCAGCTAGCTTCACAAGATTCTAAACTTCAAACTCAGTCATTTGTTTCTCCAATCACTAAGAACCTCGATGGCCAGTGTTTGTTTATGGGTGATTTGTGTTGGGGAATTCCAGGTCGGAGTAGAACGTAACTGCCACCTTCAGACAATTTCCAGATCAACTGGAGCCCATCTGACCATCATCAGTTCCCTAAAGCGCATGCATAGCATCACTGAACCAGCAAAGGAAGGTCACCGGCTTCACTGAATAACCGGGAGCTTGGACACGGGCTGACCCAATGTGTAAGTAAATGTCACTCTTAACTTCTCAGAGCCAGGGAAGTAAGCCATAGCTGCCCACTCTTTTCTCTATGCTTTGTGATAACTACTTCCTTCCTTCCACAGATTCAGCATTAGTAATTGGCTTTCTATGTGTCAAGCAAGCAGACCCAGCTTGCAGGTACTCTAGCAATCCCTCCAAGTAGTTTGGGGTGTCATTAACGGTGCTCCAACTGTACAATTTATGAGAAAGCTAGTGAAGAATAAATGTGTAAATTTGAAATGTAACATCACTTGTAAGCCAATAAACTAATTGTTAGATTAAGTAATTGTGCACTTTGTAAGTGGGCGATTTACTAAATATTATTGAAGGCATTAAAGTTATTAAACAAGGCCTAGCATGGTAGCCTAGTGGCTGGAGTCATTACCTTGCACGTGCCATGATCCAATATGGGTCCCGCTTCCCATCCAACTCTGCCTATGGCCTGGGAAAGCAGTCAAGAACAGCCCAAAACATTGGGACTGCACCTGTCTAGGAGACCCAGAAGAAGCTCCTGAATCCAGATCGGCTTAGCTCTGGCCATTATGGCCACTTGTGATGTGAATCAGCTGGTGAAAGACTTCCTCTCTGTCTCTCCTCTCCGTATATCTGACTTTCCAATAAAAATCAATACTTTTTTTTTTAAAAAGTTATTAAGTAGTAAAACATCAATATTAGTAAAGATTTTTCTAATGTTTATTTTTTTCTCATTTACTTGAAATGCAGAGAGACAGAGATTGATCAGTGATCATGTATCCCTTGCTTTATTCTTTAAATGCCTATAATAGCCAGAAGTGGGTCAGACTGAAACCTGGAGCCCAGGACTATGGGGGTGGCAGGAGCCTAAACACTTGAGGCACCGTCCACTGACTACCAGAACTCATCAGTGAAGAGCTGGATGGGGAGCAGAGTAGTTGGGACTTGATTCTGTGCTCTGACATGTGGATGTGCATACCCCAATTGGCTGTTTAACCTGCCGTCCCACACTGCCCGCCCCTTTTAAATGTTCTTGTTGTGAAGCACTCTTCTAAAACACATACATCTTGTCTCTCTGTATTTTTGTGTAAATACATTTTCAAGAAATACAACAATCCCAGCATGCTTAAATTTTTGGTAATGGAACTACCATAAATCAGTATTTTTCAAATCATTTATGTTTTTAAAAGACAATGATACCTTGGCAACAAAAGGGTTGAAGGGACTGTATTATAATCCACTGTATAGGTTTCATTTTTATCAGAATTTCTAAAATTTCTGTTGTAGGGAGTTTGGGGAAAGGAAAGGAAAGGGAAGGGAAAGGAAGGGAAAGGAAAGGAAGGGAAGGGAAGGGAAGGGAAGGGAAGGGAAGGGAAGGGAAGGGAAGGGAAGGGAAGGGAAGGGAAGGGAAGGGAAGGGAAGGGAAGGGAAGGGAAGAAGCAGGACTTGATATGGAAGACAGACTGTCTGGAATCTTGAGTTCACACAATGCTGGTGCCAGAAACCAAGGTCAAACTCTGCAGGCAATGGCCTGTAAGTGGGCAAAAGTCCAAGACCAAGGTCAAGACCTGCAGTCAAGAGTCCACAGCCAGGCAGCAATCCAAACCCTCAGGTCTGTGGGCTTGAAGATATACTTGAGACAGTCATTGCTGACTTCTGTGCATGGGTCACAATGTTGTCTCTGATCATCAAGCATTGGCTATTTAACATTAACATAGGCTGTGGTTATCAATGTGCCACATCAACTCAAGTAATCAGACTCCCTTAGAATTTCAGCAAAAGATTGAGGCAGTGAGATTTCCAGATTGACCTTCTTCCTCAGAGAAGAGGGCTTCCCTCACAGTCGTTCTTGTATCTGCCTCATTTCTTATTTTCTCAATTGCACGTCACTCCCTCTCTAAGCCTGTTCATGCAGCTGCAGGCAGTGATAATTTCCATTGAAATATATGCAGGAACCAGTCTTCTGTAACAGCTGGAGTTGGCAAAGATCATCACCACATTATGTTTTTCAAAATAAAGTATGTAGGAAATAGCTCTCATGATGCATGAAAAAACCATTTTGTGTAAAAGTATTATAACATTAACATTTTTATAATCTTTTCAATACTGCATTTTACTGCTCTCATCTCTGGATATTTACTGTTATGTTAAAAATCACAATGAAACAGATACATGTATACAAAGATTTTGGAGAAAAATTTATGCCATGAAAGGCATTTTAATGTCATTACTTGGTCTATGAAAAGCACATGTAACACAGTGTGTTAGTTAAGAAGATGGATTCTGAGTAATAAAGCCCAATACTTAAATCTCAAACTTCGTATGCCTTTATAACAAATGAATGTTGTTAGTGTGGCTCTCCAACTTAAATTACAGTCAACATTTCCTTCTTTTGAGTGTAAAGATACAATGATCTGTCATGTTAGTGAAAAAGCAGTATCTCAGATGTCATGGGATAGAGTATATACACTATTCCAATTTATAAACGGATATACTCAGAAATGCTAGTTCTCAGCACTGACCTTGTTTATAGACACAGTGAGCAGAAATCTTTTGATGTATTCAGCAAACAGGGATGTGTTGAACACATATAGAAATGACAAAATTGCTTTTGCACAGGGTCTTTAGAAATCAAATCAAAAGCTTTGTTAATCCCTGGAGGTGCACATCACACCATTGGTCCTATCCCTGATCTCTAGTGTTTAACAAGAGACAGGAAAACAGTCTCTATGAGCTTCTGCTTCCCTCATTAGTCCTCTTTCCCCAGCTGTCTTCCTTTTAATTTAGATATCAATGAAGGAACACTGATTTCTAAGCTTACATCTAAGTCGAAGAAAGTTTTCGAAGATGTAAACCAGAGAAATTAGAAACTTTCTCTACAAATGGATTGAATGATCTTTGTTGACTTCCAAAATATTAGCAATATAATTTTCTGAGCATAATCAATAGAGGTATTTCTTCTGCTTCCTCTCTCTGTCGCTCCATCATCCTTCTGTCTCTCTTTCTGCCTGCCTGCCTTCTTCCCGTCCTTCTTTCCCTCCTCCCTCCTTCATTCCTTCCTTCTTTCTGTTTCCTTTCTCCCTACCTTTACTTTCTCTTTCTTTTCCTTTCTCTTTCTTCCTTTCTCTTTCCACAACATTTTTTTGGGCAACTACTTATATGAATGTCAAGAAAGATACAACAAAGCACCAATAAACATACATATGACATTTGAAAAATGCAATCTGGTAGAGAACATAATAGTTTTGTTTAATAAGTAATAAGTAAATAAGTAAATAAGTAATAAGTAAATATTCTATTTGAGTTGTATAGATTAGTGTTCTTCAAACTGCACATGGTGATTCAACTAAAGGTAATTAAATGTTTTTAGTGAATTGCAACCAAATTTTTTGCCAAGTTAAAAAATGAGCGATACACTATTAGAATATTACTGCAAGTTGTGGAGGCTTCCTACATGAAGTGTTCGTATAGATGTGTGTATATGGGTAAGTATGCCCAACACAAGTGCCAATATAAAATGTATCACTTAGTTAATTCCAGTTGAAATTTTGGAAGCTTCTGGCAAAAAAAAAAAAGAAATTGGCAATATTTCACAAGCTGACCAACCTGGGAACATGAAAAAAGGAATAGTTAGTGAAAAGCTAACAAAGAACTAGACTTCACATGTCTAACTAGGGACAAGAATGAGAATAAATCAGGATTTGGAGCATCAAAATCAGAAATATTTGGGAGCACTTCAAACAACTATGTTTCGCAGAATGAAAATGAGGAAACTAATGAAGCAGCATGGTGGACATTGAGGAAATATTAGAGGCCAGAATGCATTACAGAGGACGTGACCACCAACCCTGGTACTTGGAATAGTTTGAATCACTGGGGAGCCACAGAGAATGTGAAAACAGAGATTTCAATGTAGAAAAAAGTTGCAGGGGAAGCTGTTGTTGAATGGAACTACAAATTCCCATCTTTATATCTATCCCTCCCCTGTCCTCCTGCCATCACCAAGTGGAATCAATGATCTCATATCCATTAATTGACATGATGTAGACCAGAGGTAGGCATATGTCCAACTTCTGATGTGCTAAAATTGGCAAGTGCTGAGGCATACTTTTGCTCCTCATCACCCTTAAATATATCAGCATCTTTCAAATAGTTTGTTAAAAATAAAATTAAAACATGACTATATTTGGGTGCAAATTTTGCTGAAATCTGTATATTCAAGGGTTTTTTTTTATCAGTTCAATGAAAATTTGTGTTATAAAAGGAAAAAATAGTGGATTTCAAAAATTTCACCCTATAAGAGAATTAACTTTTAATTTAGTTTCCCTCAATTCCTTTGAAGTTCTTAGTTTTTGGCAATTGATTTCCTCTGAGTAAACACTAACCTATTAGCACTCATT